ATGAACATTAAACATTAAACAAGCAATAAAAATCATTGGAATTGGAATTGGAAATTTCAGGTACAGAGACAACCTATCTCTTTCTGCCAGGTCTTCTTGATGTTGCCTTCATTTTATTAATTTTAATAATAAAAAGCCCATTTGTTACGTGCTACTTGTTTTATTCATTTTTATAGCCCCTTAAGTACACAGCTTTAAGTTATCCATTGCCATGCATGTATTAAAATCGTCTTTGCCCACATCTTCAACACTATCCAAGGAGAGTCCCGGATGTAGAAGATATATTAAGCTTTGACATCAAGCGAAAGTCAGGTGACTGAGGGATTTGAAATGGAGTTTATTGAGGCAGAAAACTGAGTAGCGGAGGGAACAAATTTCATGCTGGCACAATTTTTTGCCAGCTTAAAGATAGATAAAAAGCACTTCATCTTGGGGATAGATAATATTCACCCGGATTGTTGTGGGGGGCAATATGCTGACTCTGTAAACCGCTTAGAGAGGGCTGAAAGCCCTATGAAGCGGTATATAAGTCTAACTGCTATTGCTATTGCTATTTATGAATTTTATTACTTACCGTATTTTTCGGAGTATATGATGCACCTCCCCCCCCAAAGAGCATGGAAATGTCTTATACACTGAATACAGCAAATTTTGCCCTCCCGAGGCCCTACCCCCCACATCCCATTTTTGCGAGAAACAGGCAAAAAACGGGTTATTTTTTTTACAAAAATGGGGGCATTTTTGCCTTTCCCCGGCCCTGCTGAAGCCTGAAAAGTGCTCTTGGGGGCCAGGGAGGACAAATCTTTTTTTCTTACTTACCGCTTTGAAATCTTGGTGCGTCTTATACACCGGTGCGTCTTATAGTCCGAAAAATATGGTATGTTTCTTTCCCTTCAGGGTCTCAGAGGCAGCCTCTCTCTTCATTTTTGTCCTCAAAACAAAAACATTGGGATAGATTGGGCTGAAAAGAAGTGATCTACCAGTGTGGGCAACCAGAAACTGGCTTTTCCTAGTGCCAGTCCAGTCCTTTAACTCACATACCTTAAATGGTTTTCTTTTATCTACTTAATGTCAGGCCAACCTGTGGAACATGCAGCATCTTGAAAAAACACATCCATATCTACAGTAAATCCCTACCCTTTCAATTCATGATCCCCCAAGACAAAGAGCATACGTCTTCATTCTTTTCCTGAAATAAATCACCTCAAAAGTGGCATCCAGAGAATGCCAGCCCAGGTGACACATTTTGCAACTCCCCACTCCCTGTTGACTTCTTTGTTCCAGTTGATTCGCTTGCTTGCTCACATTCAGCTTACTTCCCCCTCTTGAAAACTAGCCTTACCTGTTTGCTGCCAGTTCTCCTGTGTCCTTCCTCTATGGAGGAGGAGGAAGACGAAGAATACGCGGTTGTTCTAAAAATGGATGAGATGTGTGGGCGAGGCCTAATAAGGCAGGACCACAAGTGGGGTGGTGAGGAGGGGAAAAAAACTTCTACTCTACTCAACTCTTCCACAGACACGTTTGCAGGACAGAAAAGGAGGCAAGATGATGGACGCTCTGGCAGTCCCCATGGTACTTTTGATTGGGATAACAATCAATGCCGCCCATGCACAAGGTAAGAGGGTCATGGCTTGGCTGTCATTTCAAGTGGATTCCGTGGAAAATTAATGCATCCTCATTTGGAATTGAAGGTATAAAAGATAAGGTGCTACGTCTCTCATCCAACATCCTCAGGCTAAACGGGCATTCCTCAGCAAAACGCAAATTCTTTAGGGTTGTTGGCTCTGTGTCAATCTACTGCGTGAAACTTGGTGGAAGATGGAGGGCAGAGGGAAATGTTCCCATAACATGCTAAGCTTCGTTAATTTATTTCTTGCTAAAAATGTTTTGGTAAACCAGTCAGTGTGGTGGATACATGGTTCAGTGTACTACTCCAATCCAGAAGATTAATTAAATCAGCAATCAAATTAAGCATCTTGTGCGAATGCGGCCTTTGGACTGCAGTGTCTACTTCTTGCTAATTATGGCTTGTCCTTTTAATGGACAGATTATTAACAAAGACCTAGATTTTCATTGTTCACGGGGGAAATATTAATCAATGTATAAGTGATTTGGTGGAAAGAGAATGAGCAATGATTTGTACAGAGACCTTTCCTAAAATAAGGTGAAAAATCAGGACCTAATTATAAAAAGGTCCCTCCATTCTCCAGTTTCTGCTTTTAAAGAAGAAAAAATTGCATTTTTCAATGGCATTTTTACACTTTTGAGAAAATTTTAAATTACCAAATAGCATAAACTGTCATAGACAGCAAACTGGTTCAGCAGATCTGTGCTAAAATTAAATATGTATATTGAAAAGGCATTATAGATACCATCAACATAAAATGGAGCTTGCTCAGAATCTGAAATACACCAAGTAAATGAGATGAAGAGTGTGAAGTAGAGGAGGGAGGTAAGGGAAGAAGAGAGGGATAGGAGAAAGGAGTGGGGGAGAGGAGGAGAGAAAGGAGGAGAGGAAAGGGGAGAGAGGAGAAGGAGAGAGGAAGGGGAAGTAGANCAGTATCCTTCCCCTGCCACGCCCACCAAGCCACGCCCACAGAACCGGTAGTAAAAAAAATGGAACCCCACCACTGCACCCCACCTATTCTAATTTTCCCTTAGTGTTTCCTGGAATTGCTCCAATATTATTCCATTGAATCCCACATCTGGAATACCAAAAGGGTTCATATTCAAGTCATATTCAAATCTTGTAGATATTTTTGATTTTTATGATTCTTTATTAATGTAATACAGTCAGTAACAGTAACAATAACAATAACAGAATTGGAAGGGATTTTTGGAGGTCATTCCTTCAGCTACATTTACTACTGTAGTTATTTTAAAAAGCAGGGTAAAAATGTCAGTTTGTACAAATCAACCCTTTCCCATCAGTTGTCTTTGAGATGCTGATTGCGGAAGGTGGATGTCTGGAGCTTGCTAAGTTGCGATGCTCTGAGCAGGACGTTGTCCAAACAGTCTGTTTCACAAAGGGCTGATCTCTATTTGGGAAACATTGAATTTCATGGTCCTATGATTCTTTAAAAATCAGAAGTGTTGCTAGGTATGTTGTAATCAGTTGGTCCCATCTTCTCCGAAACTTCTGCTTCTTATTGGTGCTTGTCCATGCATGAGGACTGGCAGGCAGTCACAAGCATTTTCTAGGTATTTGTATGTATTCTTTTTAATGGTATGGTTTTAAATCAGGGGAAAATATTGTGCAGCTAGGTGTGGCTTGATAGATAATACCCCGTTTGTTCTCCTCCTTACCAAGACCGTTCTTATTCACCCATTGAAAGATAATAGAGATGAAATAAAACCCAGTAATAGAAAACACTTGCCGATAGAAGAGAATATTTGTAGCTCTGGATTGAACTGTGGGTTCCTTGGTACTCTTTGAGCAAGAAAACAACCAACCTCACAGTGGTCAAAGAATTCCCCCACAGAAAGCACTTGGTTACATAGTATGTATGTAAATGCATATTTAAACTATGATATGGTGGAAACCACCAATTTAGATGCGGATAAGACAAATATATACACTTATACAGTGTAGGAATGTCCCATTATGTATCTGCCTGACCTTTCACAGCCCTGGAAAATTTTTTGTTGTATTTATCTATCGCCGTGATAGCAAACCTATGGCACGCATGCCACAAGTGGCCCACTGACCGCTCTCTGCAGGCATGCCAGCCCAGCTCCATTGCGCATGCGCACACACCTCCCGCCAACTGGTCTTGAGGTCGCTGCCGCGCATATGTGGTGGGTGGGGTGCATGCACGAATCGTTTCCCGCAAAAGCCCACTCCCTGTTCGTTCCTCTTGTTTCCTATGAGAGGGGTCAATCACCTCCAAGGGGTGGCTTTACTCCCAAGTCGATCCTGCTTTCTTAGTTGTTCTTGTTTTCTGGCAGCTCTGCGCATGCACACACTGGGAACAGGCTCCAGCTGTTCTTCTGCCTCACTGCTGTCTAGCTCCCTCTCTGCCTCCAATGCAGAGATCTCGTCTGAGCTTTCCTCAGCCCCCAAGACTGGCCCATGTTCCTCCTCAACCACCTCACTTTCTGACTCTGCTCCCAGCTCTGCTGGCTGCTGGNCCATCTCCGCTGCCGCTCTGCATGGAATGTCAACACAGAGAGTTGACACAACCAATATGTTGCCGCCCTTTGAAAGGCTGCTGCATACTGTGAGTTCAGAGAACTGGACAAGCTCCTCCTAGACTGCATTATATGTGGTGTTCGGGACGTTAACTTACAAAGGAGGCTGCTGGCCAAAACCAACCTTACACTCCAGATCGCTCTAGATGAAGCCAGGGCTACCAAGTCCTCGACCAAGTCGACAGAAACATTGCAGAGACAAAGCAGCCCAAAGAGCACGCGGAAAACCAACAGCGTGCATCACGAGACCATGAAGCCAGAAGCGTCAGATAGCAATCATGACATCTACTGCATGCGCACTGACCGAAAGGAATTGACGTGGCAATTTGAATCGCATTCTCGGCCCTCCGCCGGCTCTGGAGGAAACCACCAGAGATCGGCTTGCCGTTTCCAGGATGCCATCTGCCACCATTGCAAGCGAAAGGGACACATCACTAGAGTCTG